ATTCGATGTGTATTATTAGCAAGTTGATCCCCAAAGTTGCGTCGATTTATACTTCAGCAATCAGTGACAATCCTTGATTTTTTTCCCTTTGGATTGCTACATTCTGCACTGCATAGTACCTTATCTATCTAGACCTCATGGTGTGTGTGTGTGTGTGTGTGTGTGTGTGTGTGTGTGTGTGTGTGTATTCCACAGTCTGCCTTGCTAACCATACCAGAATGAATCATGTCTCAATCCTCACATATGTGTATGTATATCCCTGACAATCTAAAACACTGACTTTCCATATAAATGAGAAAGACAACACGCCTGGCATATTAGTTAGCTGTAATTGTCATAACTGCAACTATTTAATGAAAGACTTTCTTCCAGAGATGGAAGGGTTCCATCATCAAGGAAGAGGTTTATCCATAAGTGGCCAGAAGTCCAGAGCAGTAGGGACTCAAACTTAAAGTTCATTTTCCTTTTTTCTCCTTAGCAGTATAAATCAGGGGTCACTCAGGCCAAGGCTGGTGTGAAATCCTTGGAACCCAGGGTTTTCATTTTCTATTCCCAGAGACGTTTTTTAGAAGTTGCATATGAAATCTCAACATGCTCACAGAAGGTTGAGAAAGGCAGTCTTTATTCCAAGTGATCATTTCTCAACTGAAAATGAGGAAGGCTAAATAAAGAACAGGTAGAAAGGAAAAAATAGAAGCAGCTATTCTGGAGTCATGGAAGCACAAGATGTGATATCTGTTCTGAAATTACCCACGGTTTCTTTTTTTCCTGGAGTGTTTATGTTACCCCTTTATATAGTAAACACAGTGGTGTGGACGATCGGGTATTTTCCCCTTTCCTTTAATTAGAGTCTGCTTTCCCATTGACATAGATTATACTTTCGAGATGCTTAAAATTCATCTTGGACTTCAAATGGCTGTAAGTTCTCACACCCTGCTTTCTGTTCCAGTCGCACGCCTCTGTGTGGTGATCAAATTGATCTGAGAATAACACTCCAAGGCAGCTGGGGAGTTGTGAGCCTGGGAGTTTGCTGTACCGCCTTTCTGTGACAAATGAAGAACGAGAATGCACCAAAATCTCAGGAAACAAGGAAAGAAACCAAGAGATGAGGAATGCAAGACAGGAGGTCTCCATGCAGCAAGCAAAGAATGACCAGGGATGGTCTCCACAAAACATCTCAGTTATAATAATCTAACTTTCATCTCCCAAGTCATAGAAGCTAATGTGGACAGCCCATGGGGGCTTTCATAGAAAGACACACACCAGCGGATCTATAGACTCAGGAATTCAACCTCAAATGCACAACTAGCTAACAATTACTATAATACAATTTTCCAAGTTACTGTCCAAATGAATAAAGACTGGTACAAGTTTTATAGAGTAGCACTATATGCAAAAAAACAGGTTTAGACCCCAGGAGTCTTGAGTCCTTGCTCAACAGCCATATATAATGGCAAAGGTCTTTCTTCTGCACGATCACTTGGGGCAAACTTTCTGGTCAAATTCCACATCCATCTTTGTCTCCAGCTTTCTCGCCTCTTACCCAAGCTATGTAGACATGCAATGTGCCTTCCTTGGAAGCATTTTATGAATGAAGTACCCTGTGTATAGTTGATTCTCAATTTGCATGAATGTACTGATTGATGACCTTTACCTACTTGCCTGATTACATGTGTTTGTGTGCCTTTAAGCATCTGTATACCATTTACCACCGTACAAAGTAAACGCAGAAAATAATAGGTGTTGGACAGGGTGTAGAAAAAAATGGAAAGCTCCCATTGCTGGTGGGAATGCAAAATGTTTTAGCTCCCATGGGAAATAGTTTGGCAGTTTTGCAAAGAGCTAAACATAGAATTACCATATGACCCAGGAAGTGCATCCGAAGAAAAAAAAGGATTGAAAACAAAATTTGAACCGATGCTCACATGCTGATGTTCACCATAGTATATTTATAAAATTCCCGAAGTAAAAACAATTCAGGTACCCAGCAACCAAAAAATGGAGAGACTAGGAAGATATTATGCCAAGCATAATAACCCAGACAGAATGTAACAGATCTTATTAGTCTGTTTCTATGGAATAGCTAGAATTAGCAAGTTCATAGAAACAGAAAGTAGATTATAGGTATCTGGGGCTAAAGGCAGGAATTAGGTAGTTTAAATGCAATAAATTGGTAGTTTCTGTTTGGAATAACAGTGAAAATGTTAAGAGAAAAGATCATGGTATTGTTTGCATAATATTTAAATACAATTAATGATACCAATTTATACATTAACAGTAGCTATAAATTTGTACTATATATAAAGCTACAAAATTATTTACTCTGATCTTTTAAAATATTTATTTATGTTTATATGCCTGAGTTATGTGTACTTGTGTGTACAGCTGTGCATGTCTGAAAGCACACCTGTGGAGGCCAGAAGACTGCACTGGGTGGCCTCTTCTACCATCTTTTGCCTATCCTTGAAGTAAGGGCTCTTAAGAAGTGGGGACTCTGGTTTTCTCAGCTAGAGTGGAAGCCACCAGGACCCAGGAATCCTCCTGCCTCTCCTCCAACTCCATTTACAGCTAAGGTTGCCAGTTTTATGAGCTGCCTGACTTGTATTAGCGCTGGGATTCGAACTCTGGCCCTAATACTTGTGCAGCAAGCACAAGAGCTTGTAATCACTGAGCCATCTCTCTAACCTCCATTAATCTTGCACATATAAATGGGATTCCATTGAGTAATTTATGATGAATTGTTCCACTATCTCATTTAGTACTGGCAGCCTCTTGAATTGGACAGAATACTACCCATTCCTTCTATACACCCCACCCAATCTGTTTTGATACTGACAACCTGTTTAGAGTGTCCACACCCTAAGTTGAAGAGACAGCCTACAAAGCCCTTACATTCTTTGCTCAACTTTTGTAGCCTGATCCTTTTAGGGATTCAAGTCCCAGGAAAATCTAACGAGGTCAACCAATCTCTATAAGTGCCCCTGTTGTAACCTCATAACTTGTGGTTATGAATGGCCACCACCCTACCTCTCATTTTGGTATTTGAAGATCTGGTGTGTGAATGCAATCCACGGAAGTCTAGGAAATGATTTAATACCAGAGTAAAAGGGTTCTGATTTAAGAAGATGAAGATGTACAAGAAGAAAATGCTCAAAACCATCAAAGATTCACTACAGTGGATCTATGACTCCCAAAACTGGGACAAAATACAAGATATCCAGGAAAACTAGGACTTAAGACACCCTGAAACTGTTGGTTAAGGTCTATGGCATTACAAATCATTGGGAGTCAATTTCATTTCATTTAATCCTCACAACAAGAGGAGAAGAGGGCATGGAAAGCATTTTATCCCACATTTTATAGTTCATCTGAGAAGGTCAAGTGCTTGACTAAGGTCATATAGTCATAGGGATCAGCCTGAAAATAGAACTCAGGTGTTTGAATGTAGGCCAGGGCTGCTCGTTCCATGATGGTGCATCTGGCTGCTTCTGAGAGACAGCATCTGATGATGCCCAGGAAATGCCACACGGAAGATGGCCGTTTCTATTCTAAGTCTCAGGTTGGGGTAGCGGCAGCCAGGGGCATATGTGGGGATGCCATCCTGGATTTGGAGTTCTTTTTTCTGCCTGTGGCACTCCAACTGGCATAAACAAGGCATAGCTGAAGATTAAATGTCCTGAACATTATTAGCCCATTAGATGTCTTGACACCTACTTCTAGAACTCTGCCCTGTTTACAGCCCTCTTCAAGTTCTGTTGATCAAGTTTCTAAAATGCTCGTGGAGCGTTGTCTTCGGTCTTACTGTAATTCCACAGGGAGAAAACACTCTCATATATTTTGGGAAAGAAATGAAAGTCTTTTTAATCCAGAGCTCAAGTTTCTAAGGGAAGAAAAAAAAATCCATTTAGTACCATGCCCCGGGTGACCAGCTTGTCCCAGGCTGCCCATGACATTCCAGGCTGAAGGTCCCATGTCCTCTCCTTAATCCAGGGTAAATTGGGCAGCCCGGATTTTCTGTACCAGGTCCAAGTTCTCCCCATCTGACCCTGCTGGAGTAGAAAGCCTGATAATAGCAAATAGCAGTCCTAGTTCTTAGCAGAGGGAGATGCCATTTAAAATTTTAAATTAATTAATGCTTTATTTACGTGTGTGTGTATGCGCGCCTGCGCGTACCAAAGTACAGATGTAGAAGCCAGAGGACAACTTGTGGGAGTGAGTTCTCTCTAGGTGGGTCCCAGGAATAGAGCGCAGGTTGTCAAACTTTGTGGCAAGCATGTTCACTGCTGAGCAATCTCCCCAGCCTGGAAAAGCGTATTTCTGGTACTCCCTGACTAGGCACTATGGTATTGATTAGGAATTCCTTCCTTCTCCTTGGAGGGGATGAATCACACATCTGTGGTTTGATCTGCATCCCTTAAAGGCTCTGTAGGGCAAGAATGGAGGCGAAAGGCAGAGGGTTTTAGGGCCTAGGCTCCTTGGGGGTGAGATTCCAAGTCCTCTAGGAGTGGAAGATATCAGCCGAGGCTGGCTGGAGATGAGAGGAGATGGTAGTGCCACTTATTGTTGTTAGCATGAAATTGGGACGGGCCTATTGCCCCAGGAAAAACTCTCCATGTTTCCACTGAACATTCTAGAAAAGCTAGGAGAGAAGGGTGGGGAAATTACCTACAAGGTCAGTCAGTAAGTAAAGTGAGGTAGTTAAGAGGATCCGGCACAAACCAGTTTGTCCTTCATTCTTCTTGGCAAACTGGGTTTGATGCCCTTGGCTGGCTTTAACCCTGCCGGTCACAGCGGGTTAGAGGAAGCGCTGCTTTAGCAGAGGTCAAGGCACGCACTGCCATGCCAAGTGTGGCTGTTTTCTTAGGGAGAAGAGTTCGCTGTCCATGGTGGGATATTTTCCATCTTGCCATCAGGTATTTCCTGCTCTGGCTTCGCCATGTCAGGACATGACTGTTTGACAGCTCCTGGGGGCGGCGGGGGGGGGGGGGGGGGAGGAGGTGATGTGAGGAGCAATCTAGTAGCGGCTCAGCTTTCACTGTCTCGGAGGGCGTTTCCATCCCGATCCCCGAGAAGGTGAGCTCTCGGCTGTGTGTGCCAGGCTTATGTAAACTGCGGCGGCGGCGGCGGCGGCGGCGGCGCAGCGGCTGCGCAGAGCTGCGGGGGTGGCGGCACAGTGCGGCGCTCCAGGCCGGCGCTGCAATGCAGCAAGTGATGGAGCCCAGAGCCCCAATCCCACAGTGCTCAGGCACGAGGCTGGGGGTGGGCTGCCTTGTTGGCAGTGCTTGTGACAATGGGAGGGGTGTACCGTGTGGGAGAGTGTTGAGGACTCACTGAGTACGTTCTGCAGGAGGAATTGGGCTAGGTCCTTCAGGGCGCGCTGCTGCCCTCTAGGGCTTAGAGCGTGACAAGAAATAGGACAAGGCCCGGATAAGGAAGCCTCAGCAGAACACAGTGCCTGAGTGCCTTAGGGGAAATGCAAAGAGGTGTGTTTTTCTGGAGGTTCGTACACCTCTCGCCTCTTTCCCTGAGGCTGCTTTTCTGTTTTAGGGGAACAAGGTGTGGATCGTTTCGTCCGGTCTCCGCAAATCCGATGGGGTTTTCAGGAGGGCCGAGGCTGTCTGTACACCTCCTCGTTTATTCCAATCAATACAGCTGCTCTCTTTTTAACATGGCAGAGAAAGCTTTCCGTTAAAATTACAGCCTTGGCGACAGCAATTCGCGTGGCCCTGGCTTCCTTGGTATTGTGCAAGGGGCCTGGCTTACCGCCTCATCTGCGAAATGACCTTTTGTCTTTTTCTGGCACTTTTAAGAAAATGGAACTGAAGTTGCTGCAGTGAATAACTATTGATGTAATATAACAGCTACCAATATTAAGTGGAAAATTTGTGCTAAAACACACTTCTTAACAAGGTAAAATCATGACTCACATACAAATGTCACATGACTACACGATGGAGGTTTTACATAACCCATTAAATAATTTGGGAATGAGCAGGATGCCAAATGAGTTCAAAGGAGAATTATGAAGAACACACACACACACACACACACACACACACACACACACACACACACCCTATAGTGGAATAAAGTAGAATGTGTGAAATCGCTTTTGCATTCTCACAAGATGGAAATCAAATCTGTACCAGACAAAACACACATTTTATAGATGAAAGCCATTTACTTTGCCATTAAATCTTCAAACTTAACATCTAGTTCTTCAGAGTTGTAAAACTACTAGGTCAATCATAGCAGCCAGGGTGTGCAACCTATAGAATCAGTCCCAGGAAGACCCCTCGGCCAGTGCCCACTCTGCCACTGAACAGGCCTTCATCGTTAAAGATGGGCCGGAGGACCACACGCCTTTGGACTTGGAGACAGGAAAGATGTCCAAGTGAAAAGCCTGCTGATTGGATGACTGGAGGAGAGTCTGTACTTGTGATGTCATCTTAAGAAACATTTTGGATGTCTAGGAGCAAGACCACCAACCATCCTTAAGATGTGAGGCATTGTAGAAATCGCTAGAGTTGGCCTTTGCTGACCGCCTGCTTAGAGAGATGCTGTTGTCTATTGATTTCTCTGTAAGCACCGCAGTCTCCACAGGTGTGAGGGGATCCAAGGGCAGAGGAGACTTAGACCGCAGACAGATGAATCAGTGCTAAGCTAGTGGGTCACAAAATAACGTAGCTTTCTCGTCAGAGATCCCCTGAGTCACATTTATGCTAACATATCTCCATCGTGAAGACCCTGAGAGGTTGGTACCCATACCAACATCATCGGTCTCCATTCCCTCAGTATTTACATTAACATTTTCAGTCTCTGTCACGGAATGGCAGAAAAGTGTTGTGGCTTTGCATAGCACTTTGACAATAATGAGAATTAGACCAATTAAGAGCCTGGGGGACATTTTCTCCTAGCTTTAGAAACCAAGTCACAGCCACACTGAGTGTCACTTACAGACGGATGAATATGATGACCCTCAAACAATCCGTGGGCTGAACTCTTACTTTCCTTCCTGGTTTTGAGATTAGACCGCCAATTTCTCAAGGTCACCACTGGGGGGCCTGGAGATGAGGTGTGGCAGATGGGCTCCTGGGTTGCAATGCTGGGTGACGACGTGATGGGGTTGGGGGGAGACCAAGGAGAAGGAGAAGAAAACACACTGTGATGAATCAAATATGATTTATGCGTGGACAGGCAAGGAGATCTCTTTTCCTTGCTTGGGTCACATCATTAAGTCTAATTAATGGGAACTGATCATAGGGGGAGTTCAGAATCTATTTTCGGTTGTCCTTATCCAAAGGCAGCAATCAAAATGCAGATGAGCTATCTCCGTCTTACCCCAGGAGAGACACAGGCTTCTTGCTAATGAAGGGAAAATGGTAAACGAATGCTTATCACGCCTTCCCTGTCTTTGATGGCTTCTTGGAGTGGCAGTACAGGCAGGCAGACATCTCATGTTCTGAAATGGTGCCACCCGGTATCGACTGTCTTTTTCCAAGAGAGTCTGAGTGCTGCTCTAATGCTGTCTTCTCACCGCTGCTGAGAGAGAGGCAGGGGGCCAAGGACTCTCTCCTTTAGCCCTAACCTGGACAAAGCTAAGTGGCTTTCCCAGAGCAAGCCAGGCCATGGAGGATCTTTAACCAGAAAGGGCACCTCGGGGCATACAGTTGGGCAGCATTAGCAATCCATCCTCATTCCGACCTTCAGCCTCAATAATTAGAGCCTTCTTGTCTAACTGAACAAGAAAGATCTGGGGCAGTGAGGGACAGAATTAGAAATAACCCACCAGGAGATCCAAAGTCACCCCACTGAGGACAGCCTTGAGCTGTAGCCCAGTGGAGAAGACCAACCTGCTGGAGGCAGGCAGAGGCATCCTGAGCCATGTGCTTCCTTGTTGGTTTTTTTTTAAACAGAAAAATGGCTCCCAGCAAATGCTCTGACACACAAATCATCTCTGGATGAAATCGAAGTGCGCCCCTTCCCCAGCAGGGTGATAAATTAACCTGCAGCTGCGGCAGCTGTGGGGTCACCACTCAGTCCCCATCCAGTCTGTCCCAGGAGAGTTCCCTTCTCCTCTCCGGGCCAGCACTGCTATATTTAGCTCTTCCAGCATGTGCACCGTCTATATTTAGTGCCTAAAAGTCAGAGTTCAGCGTACAATTCATCAGTCTATCAGTCATCCCTTCATTCCATTCACACTTGTAGAAAAATCCTTCCAAGAGACTGCCTTGCTCTCCGGGATGTGGGGTGGTGGTGATGGTGGTGGAAGCCGTTCCAAGAATGAAGGGTTGAACTCCAGAGGGGGTTTCCTGCTGTCTCTGGCATGCAGTGAGTGCCTGAGAATGCCAGACCCCGAGCCAAGAGTCCAGGCATGGGTGGGGCTCCAGAGGGCAACCGGATGGTGGAGGACAGGTGGAAAGGCTCAGGAGTGGACAGCAGATCCTGTTGTGCTCACGTGGTCCCTGTTGAAATTGCAGACAACTGGCCATGACTCATTAAGTCTCCTATTTAGGTCCCACCTTTTGGTGGAAGATTTCCATGAGACCCCTCAAATAAATTAGGAGCCTTCCCATGGTAGCATGTTCCTCCATGATTCTCTACACCGGTTCCCTGTCAAAACTTCAGCGTGCGAACAAATGACTTGGGACATAACTGAAATTCAGATTCCGTAGGCCTCTGGTCCTGCCTTTTTAGTGAGCTCACAGGAGATTCCCAAGCTGCAGGCTGAGCCAGTGGTTCCGATGACATCACCTGGCCATGTGCTGTCTTCTGTCTTTGAGCATAAGGCGGTGGTTCTCAACCTGTGGGTCGTGACAGTCATGAAGCAGCAGTGGAAATAATTTTCTGTCACCACAACACAAGGGACTGTCTTAAAGGGTCGCAGCATTAGGAAGGTTGAGAACCACTGGAAGGGAAATCAGAGGGGTGCTTTGAGGACTAATTAACGTCAGGATTCCTGGCTGGTAGAGGGCCCAGGTAGTGCTTCAGGGGATGAAAGTGCAAGTTCACTGGTGCCAGCATTCCTGAATAGGTGTTGAGCCTTCTTCCTTTACTAGTCCCACACTACTGCCGCCAGACCTGCAGGCCAGTGTGACTGTGTGTCTGAAGGGAAACCATCCTGGCACAAGGCAAGAAGACTTGGGTTCCTAGGTTTTGGTTCAGGTCCTGACCTGCTCATATTTTCCCACCTAGAGACCTCCTTTTCCTCAGAATAAGCACAGTTGCAGAGACTCCCTGCCTTGAGGTGGGGTAGAGAGGCCCACACTTTCTACCCCTCCGGGATAACCCACAAGAAAGCTCCTGAGTCTACAAAAGAGTCAATATAATAGCACACTGGCAATAGAGTGTGATGAAATGAAACCCACCGTTCAGCCAAGGAGGAGGTAGTGACTGCCTTTGAGAGGAGTCATGGGGAAGGTAGTTGTCTTTGAATATTCAGAGCTCCTTTTGGGCTGGCTATTGTGGGAACACAGAAGTGTGGGGGATTTCTGAGAACAGTAGGCAGAATGATGGGGTTTCTTTACCTTTGTTGTTCCCAGCACCCAGCTCACAATAGCTTGTAACTCCAGCTCTAGGGGATCTGATGCCTTCCTTTGTTCTCAGATCTTTGACCTCTTTAGGTACCTGAAATGTGTGCTCTCATGCTTCAAAATAAAATAAAATCTTGGGGCTGGAGAGATGACTCAGTAGTTCAGTACACTTGCTGATCTTCCAGAGGACCTGGGTTTGACTTCCTGAACCCACATGGAGCCTCAAAACGGTCTGTAATTCCAGTTCCAGACACTCTCTTCTGGTCTCCTTGGGTACTAGGCACACACAGTGGTGCCCAGACATACACACAGACAAATTGTCCATATACATAAAATAAAATATTTCATAACAAGTAGTTTTAAAGTTTACTTTAAAATATAAATATCTCTCAGTACTTAACAGTCAAGAAAATAGTATATTGATTGTATATGGTTATTATATTTTTTATTTTCTATTTTTTTTTATTTTTTTTTTTTTGGTTTTTCGAGACAGGGTTTCTCTGTGTAGCTTTGCGCCTTTCCTGGGACTCACGTGGTAGCCCAGGCTGGCCTCGAACTCACAGAGATCCGCCTGGCTCTGCCTCCCGAGTGCTGGGATTAAAGGCGTGCGCCACCACCGCCCGGCTTATTTTTTATTTTTTGAATAATACAGACTAAAAATATTTACACACCTACTTCTTTTAAATCCACAGCTTAGCACTCTTACTTGTATGGCTTTAAAATGACAGTATAAAATCTGTACATTAAAAATTGTGGAAGAAGATTCCATTCAAAACAATTTTTTAAAAAATAAAATTTTTTAAAATCTTTAAAAATAAAACGGGACAGAATTATTATTCTAAAAAGCTATGACATGTGAATATAATACCTAAGGATCACTCAGCAGACAGGTTTTTTGAGAGCTAGTAGCCTGATTATTACATTATGAAGCTTATGGTGCCTTCTGAATGGCTAAAACAAGATTATCTTGCTTCTTATCATTAATCATTAGTAAATGTTGTAGTATCAAGACGATTATTTATAAAAGTGTAAACTTATGCTTACTTCCTTTTACAGAAGATTTAAATAAAGTGCCAGGCTGTGCCATTCAAACACAGACAGCATAGCTTGGCCCGGACATGAAAAGGAACTTCTGGTTCTGTTGCATCAGAGCAGGACCTGCCATGTGACCAACACACTTCCCTTTGGAGGTAAATACACAATTCATTCAACCTGCGGCTGTATCCCTTCACTCCAGTTCTTCAGATCTTAGCTTTCTCTTCTAGAAATCGCTCAACTGTTGCTAATTTTAAAATATGAACTGTGGAACTAAGAGGAAGCCTGTGTCTGCTATTAACTCAACAAAAAGCCCCCTAGAGGACGTATCAAACTGAATTCTTCTTTGAAGAATTAAGAATTAGTCAGGGAAGGAGGGGTGAACTCAGTAAAGGAGATAGCATTTGCTCACGCGTTCATTGTGCTGTGCAGTAAACAAATAAGTTTCAGATAAGATGAGATCAACTCAAATAGTCACACCAGGCAGACTCTTTCTTGTGGGTTAATCTTCCCTAGGAGTTTGAGCTTTATACTAAAGACTGTAGGAACCTGGCGAAGGATGGAAATCAGATCAGTAGAAGCAGTGGGGAAAGGATTACAAGGGAAGCTGAACCCCAGGGAAGATAATAGTGACCTTATGGGGAAGTGCTCCAAGACCACTTGAGGCTGGGGTGTAATTCAGAGAAACGAAGGAAGAAGAATCCACAGATCCTGATGATATAACCAGTCAACTTGGACTTAAAAGTTGAGAGAGAATACACAATGAAAAATCTCATAGGTTTTGGTATCTAAAAGACTGCATGAAGAGTATACAATTTGCCAAGACTGTCTTCTGAGGATCTGGGACACGTATTCACAACATGTACCTGATGAAGAGCATCTTGCAGAAAACCTGCACCTGCTTATGTTTCCTTGTGCTCTTGATTAACTTGTTGGATTTCCTGCTTGTGTTTCCTTGTGCTCTTGATTAACTTGTTGGATTTCCATTGGATTGGTCTTCCAGTGACATGGAAAGCTTGTAGCTTTGGAGCAAAGAAGTGACATGACCCACTGACATCTCAGAAGATCACTCTGGCTACGGATTAGTAAACAGATGATAAATGAACAAGGATGGAAGAAAGGAGGTCAGTCTGTTGTCTTCGAAGTAACAGGAAGGATATTGGAGTCTTCATGAGGTTTAGCTATGGGTATGGACTGAGTATATGCAAAGGTCAAGTAATGTGTGACCAAGAATGCATGGAAATCTACAAATAGTGGAAAGCTCCCTAATTTAGCCTTATGCAATGGGTCTCCAGCATGCTTATTGGAATCCCATTGTTGTCTAGTTTCTTTAGTACTTGGGAATGCTTAAGTCTCTGTTTCACAACTGAAAATCTAATTATTTTGTTCCTCAATGTTCAGTAAACACTGTAGACATGGCCCTATTATTCTCAGTAAAATAGATCCACTGGTCCTTGGGGTTTTGAAAATCATTCTTTTGGAAATATTGATAGTTCTTACTGTACTGGAGACCTCTTACTAAATTGAAATACAGACTTCACAGTCATAATATTGATAATTATGTTTAATAAGAGAAAATATATCCAGAACTGAATTCTGTTTTAATGTAGCAATGTTTGCTTGCTAAGAGTTTGCTATAGATATTACAGTGCATTGGGTTACTCAATGAATAGGATCAGTATCAGAGAAACTTTCAAATCATATCTCCTATTATCTTTGGCATCTATAGCACAAATCCTAATTGGTCTTAATAAAAACCTGGAGCCAGATATCGGGGTAAATGCTGGAAGATCAGAGAAGCAGAGCAGCCAGCCACCAGAGTTCTTATCTCTACTGAATTCTCAGCTTGAAAGAGCCTGAGGTCCTGTCTCCACCTGCCTTATATTCCTTTCTCCGCCCAGCCATATCACTTCCTGTCTCAACTTCCCCAGTGCTGGGATTAAAGATATGTGTGCCACTACTGCCTGGCTCTGTTTCTCTTTTAGACTGGATCAATCTTGTGTAGCCTGGGGTGGCCTTGAACTCAGAGAGGTCCATCTGCCCCTGCCTCCTGAATGCTGGGATTAAATTATCTATATTCCATTAATCCTTTCTCCCCTTCTAGCTCATTCAAATGCATGCCCTGCCTCCTATCTGAAGCTGTCTGTTTCAGCTGAGCCTCTGAGGTCTTCTGTCTCCTCTGAGGTTGAACAATAACTTCCTATACTCTGTTTTCAACCTTTCACTTTATCTCTCACACAAAGATTGCTCACTTGCTGTGTATCTTTGTGAACGAGTTCCCTGTCAAACCTAAGCCACTGTCATCAGCTACCCTGTTTTTTAACTTCTGTTCATGGCCACATTTCTTTAAATAATACTTTATATAAATTGCCTCCATTTGATCACCTCAGAATAATTTTTCAGTACTTAAGATTTCTGGTCCCACTGCCTCTCTGAATTTATGCTTATTGTAGTTATACCCATATAGCCTAATTCATTACGATTTCTGATCCCACTACCTCTCCAAATTTTATGCTTATTATGGATATTTCCACTTTAGTCTGTTCATATGTTGTAAAGAACCTGGGACTTTCTCTATGATGGGAAGCTATTGAAAGGTTGAAACAGGAATGATACGACGTTACTTACATGTTGTTAAGGTTACATGCTGAAAGCTGTGAGTGAGTGTGAGCAGGAAACTGGAAAGGATGCTATAAAATAGTATTGATAGGATCGTGGTAGCTCAGACTGAGTGCTGGAGGTGGTGAGGAGTGATCAGACTTGTGGGATGTTTGGAAGATATAGTTGATGGAACTTGCAAGTAGAGATTAAATGAAGAGTGGAGACAAGGGTGATGACGAAATCTGAACAAAGAGATAAAAGTAGTATAGGCCATTCTTTCATTCCAGGCCATTACACAGGAAAAAACCCAAGATTATGTTGCTGACCTATCACAGATGGTAGGAACATTGAATTTTACTGGGTGACATGTGATGAATGAAGGTTTTTTAGCAGAAAAATGACATGACCTGACTTACTTCTGACTGCTGATTGGTAAATGGACTGTGAACAAGGCTAGAAGGGAGGAGATGGGTGAGAGAGCTTTTCAGTAACGTAGGAAAGAGAGAATGGTGGGTGGAACTAAGGCAGTGGGAGTGGAAACAGGAAGATGTGGTCATGTTCTGGATATTGGAGAGAGAAATTGACATCTGTTGCTATGGAAGAAAGGAAGAAAAGAGAAGTCAGGATTATTGCAGGGTTCTAACTTAAGCAGCTAGAAGAATGGAGCTACAATTCACTGGAATTGAAGTATCAATAGGACAAGCAAGTTTGAGGACCATAAATTAAGGATTTATTATTTTTGGTATGATAAATTTGAAATACCTTTTACAAGTCCAGGTGTAGACAGTCATTGACAGTTATATTTATCAAGATGGTGGTTGGAGGAGTTATTAGAACTGACTTATAAATCAGAACATTATTGGGACACATATAGTGTTTAAATCCATGAGAATAGAGGAAGATCACAAAATAAGCTCGAATGCTAAGGGCCTAGAGAGCAAGTCCTGGCCTCATGTAATTTCGGATGATGATCACATAAGTAGGAACCAATAAAGACTGGGAAAGAGCAGCTAATGAAGTAGGTAGAGGACCAAGAGAGAATGATGGTCCAGAAACAAAACCAGAAACTTTAGGGAAAAAAAAAAACATGACATGACCCTCAGGGTCAAATGGTGCTATTAGATCAGGTAAGATCAAGTATGAGAATTAGTTTCTTAACGGGTGCATGTGGAGGTGGAGGGAAGGATGGCATTGAAGATCTTGACAAGAGCAGTTTTAAGGTGTGCTGAGAAGGACAGTCTGAGTGGTGTGAACTCAAGAGACAATGGAAAGAGAAGATACTGAATACAGACAGGTCTGGATGGTTGTTATTATTTGGGGAGCAAAAATACAGGGCAGGAGCTAGGGGTAGAAATAAAGTTAAGGGATGGATTTTTTTTTTTTTGGTTTTTCGAGACAGGGTTTCTCTGTGTAGCTTTGTGCCTTTCCTGGAACTTGCTTTGGAGACCAGGCTGGCCTCGAACTCACAGAGATCCGCCTGGCTCTGGCTCCCAAGTGCTGGGATTAAAGGCGTGCGCCACCACCGCCTGGCGAGGGATGGATTTTGAACTATGATAAGCACTGTGTTTGATTGCTTATAGGAAAGAAATGAACCATAGGATGGAGCAAAGTCCTTGAGAAGGTACCAGTGGATGGGTGCTTCAACATAAACACAGGCTGGCTTCAGCTAGAAGTGTAGAGGGTCATACACTGTAGCAAGAGGATCAGACTGCTCACTTAGGTGGAGCTGTGGGTAGACAGGTAAGTGGGAGCTTGTGGACGCTCCTTTACTGATGGTTTCTAATTTCTACAGGAAACCAGAAGCTGGGTCAACAGCTGAATCTGAAATAAGGCACTGTAGAAGGCTTGAAGTGGAAGGTGCTGTTGGGAGGGAGGGAGGGAGAGAGGGAGGGAGGGAGGGAGGGAGGGAGGGAGGGAGGGAGGGAGGGAGGGTGAATGATCTGAAATAAGATGGAAGGGCCCCACACAGGCACTCAGGAGGTGGGGACTGATTTCTCAGCTCTCTTCTTTTCCTTACTTCTTTTTTGCTGCATACAAATCTCATGAGGCTCATGGCTGTTTACTCTGATTCAATCCTGAATGAGAGCCGAGGGTCAAAGGCAGACAGCATTTTCTTGAGGATGTCTGCTCTTCCTCTCGGTCAGCACTCATCTGGAAGGCTGACCTTTGACTTTACTGGCATTTTAAGCGTTCAAATGTGTCCTAAGTCAGGCCAGCAGATAGCAGCTACTCTGTGAAAGATGACCATTTCTCCTTATACCATAGAGGACTCCAGGACCCTCGGAATCCTCAGCCCAGCAGAGCCTGGTGTGAGCAGCCCTGGATCTGTTTGCCAGAGGGAGGCAGATTTGTGGCTTTCTCTAAAGGAAAAAAGACTATCAGGAAAGGCCCTGGAGAAAAGTAAAGTTTACATTTGCCGAGTAAAATAGGCTTAAGGTAGAAATTGTCCTTTCTCCCCTCAAATCTCATGAGGTACTTAAGATAGATCAGTTTATGACCTATAATCTTGATGTGTGTTGAAGTCTTCATCCCTCTAAGCAGGAATAGGAAGAATAATGGCGTTGCAGTGTGACATTAATACCAGGACACATTTGAAATAGCATGTCAGATCGCAAAGCTCCATACTTGCTAGAATACATAATGATGCTGATGGGTTATTTTTATTATTATGGTATGACTAGGGCTAAACTAATCATTGTTCCTCTTTTCAGAATTTAAAAAAATATTATGTGAGTAAAAAACAAATTTTAGTGGTGTGATTAGTGTGGTTCTTTCAAAGAGGCGGTGTCTGTGCCCATGAGCATAGAAAAGATGTGGGGATAATGGGAGACAGGAGGCTATGTAGTGTCTGATGACATCCCTCAGCCAATACAGCACCTACCCAAGTCATTTTACCTTCAAAAAAAAAAACCCTTATTTATTTTTGCTTTTTTTTTTTTTTTTTAAAAAATGCAAGACAGTGTCTTGCTATGTAGCCCAAGTTGGCTTTGAACATTGGATCCCCTTATCTCAGGTGCCCAAGAGCTGAAATTACAGGCATGTTCCACTATGCTTAGCTAGGAACTTACTTTTCTTGATGTATGAGATAGATAAAACAATATCTACCCTTGACATTGCAGCTGAAGCATTAAGCGAAGTGCTGTATATGATGCACCTTGAATGGTGTTTAGTACATAGTATGCACGCAACAATGCTGACTGTAACTGATCATTTTGATTCTGGATGTGGAGAAGTCTTTGCTTTTCTTTGTGTTCAGAAGTCCTCTTTTTTCTGGGTACAGCCAGTTTGCCTGTAGCCTCTTCCGGGCTCCATTTCAGACTATTCCAGTTTCTTCTTCTGGGTGCCTATCACACTTTGCTAATGCTTCACTGCTTCAGTTAATTTTGGAACTGTTTTCCTCAGATGTCTGTGTCTTGAACTAGAGTTAAGGTATTAATACATCTATCATTTTCATAGAACAAAACAGATGAAGCAAGCGAGCATCCCACAAATGTTTATAGAATTGAGAGTTCTTTCCAATTTTCAAAGCAGAGAAAGCAGCCAACATTTGGAAGGCATTCATTTATCTTGTCTCCTCGGTTTTATCCATTAGGATGCTGAGGTAATATATGGAAGAGACTCTGCTGTGGGCAGAACTCTCTAGAATCCTGTTTCTGCAACTGGCATAGCATATATCACAAGCAGCTAAGATTAACTTATCCATTATTGTCTCTGCAGATGTCACTGTCATCAATAACACAGAGACCCTGTCTACCCTGCTTATAATCCAGGGAGACAAGGCACATAAACGGAAAATGACACCTGAACATGTTGCAAGACTGATATTTACAAACCCTCACTTAATTTCACAGCACAAGGTTAGCACACTCAGCGCCAACCAAGAAATTAAAAAATTCAAAACATTGTCCCAGCGTGACCAAAGAGGACTATGCCTTAGAAACCCCACACTACTTCCGATACCAAGGGATCGAAGTAATAGAGCATGTAAGTGCCCGGCAAAGGTGTGGAACAGTGGGTGCTGCTTCTTTCCCAGGGCAGGTAGTGTGTTATAAAACTGTTTATGGCACACTGGATATAGGTGTTAGTCACTGGGTCTCCAGGGTCTCATATTTGATGTAGACAATGATTGTGAAATGGAGGGTCAGTCTGAGGAGACCCCCTCTGGCACCGTAGCTGCTGCTGGGCCTTCCTCTGCTACCAGCTGAGGCTCATGTCACCCATGTCCAAGAAGAGAGGAGCAGAAGCTGGAACACATCAGGCTGTAATGAAGAAAAGTGTATTCAAGCCCAGGCTTTCACATGCACTAGCTCTGAGGCCTTTTTTGGGTTAATCTCTGTGACTGTCAATCTCTTAGTGATG